TTTTCCCTAATTTATTTATTTACTTTCTTTACCATTCAGCGAAAATAATAATAATAATATCTGCTCCCTTAATTCCCCTCTACGCACTCCGGGTAGTTTTTGCTCCTATATCCAAAATAATTTTCTCATTGAGTTTAATGTCACAATTTAAAATAATCTCTATAAATTTGATCAGTATGTAGCTTGAATTTGGCCAACAAAAAAAACCTAGCTCGAATGAAATTCAATTTCTTTTTTTATTTTATTATATCCATTTTCGTATATTTTCGGCCGAGAATTTGCGAGCTGAACCATTAGTTAGAATTAATTAGCATTAGGGCTGAAGATATTAACTAATCGCAATGCCGTGTTGTTTAATTTGACGGCCGAGACCTTGTAATGCTGTTTGCGAGTCTTCACATAGCACATGGCTCGTTCTATAATACCCACTTAATTACAAGAACCAGCTATTGTACCATCCTCCCTTAATAAAAAATCTATTTAACTGATTTTATTATATTGAGAAAGTCAAATAATTTAATTAATTATAAAAAATATGACATATTTTTCATAAAATATTATAATTATTTTTCTTAATATCCTTTATATCTCTCCTTCCACCTGATTATAGTTGAGAGAGCATTAATATAAGTAATTTAGAAAAAACTGATAAATATGAGAATTAAGTAATGTATTAATGAACAATTCAACTCAATAATTAAGTCCTGTATAAGGAGCAGAGGAGTATATCTCAACTAAATATGAGTGAATTAGATCCAAATAGATATTAATCACTTTTGAGTGATTAATGTTACTTTTGATTTGGCTTATTATCATTTGAAATCGAACGTGACTATAATGTTATATGATCATTTTTTTCCGAATTGATTCCTAAAGCTCATCTGATTGATTGGTAATATCGGTCGATATTGATGCCGAGAAACATATTTAGCCGAGCGCGGATATGCATGCCCCTAGAGCCATTGAAATAATTAATTAATAAAATTAAAGTTAGTTAAGCGCAGATTAATAATTAATCACGGAGAGAAAATTTTCAAGACACTCATCAAAATTTGAAAAAAATCAATGTGCCTGCTTTGACTGGTAGCTAAGTAGAGTTATGATAAAACAATTCATTTTGTTTTTCTACGAAAGACTTTAATTTAATTCAAATAAAATGGAAGAAGTTATTGAAAATTGTCATGTTATTTTTTTTTTAAAAAAAAAAAAAAGAAATTAGGATTACCCATGATTTAAAAGTAGGGCAACTAACCCATAACCCCTCGTCTACCTAGTACTCTGACTTTACTGGGACAAAAAGAACTCCACGTGCGGTATCATCACATGTTACAAACTGAAACCTTAGCTTCGAAAATACCTCTCCTGATGTCGCTACATGCTTCATAATGAAACCCACTCCCTTAGTGAGGCTGTCTAACTCCTTTGCCTGTTGAACTCACATACCACGGGTGTCACGGTAGTATTATTTTAACAGAGGCGTACTCTACATCACTGCAGGGAACAAAGATGTCAATTGTAAATGACCTGGTGTTATTGAAACTTGTAAAACGGGGTAATAGATGAAAATTCGTCTTTAACGTTTGCATCCGAGACATGAAGGCAAGCCTGGTTTAGTTTCATCATATGAACACAAACGCAGGGGCATACATAACAATTACCTTACACCTGTACGTGCGTTAATCCTGTTAGAAAGTGTTGAGAGATCTAAGTGACATACACCAGAACCCGTTACATTACATTCTTAGGAATCAAGGGAAACACATAACATGTCATTTTGATACTTTCCTAGCACATATACACGAGACTTGATCAAAACTAAATCATAAATATAGCTGCTTATGGTTTACTTACGCAGACTGAGCAATTCGACATCATCAAGCACCGGTCCACACACAAGACAAGTCATCGCTTCTCATGCTGTAGAATGTGCTCAAGAACACGATTCGTGTTCTGGTGCTACTAGCCACAAACCGAAGAACCCCACGCTTATACCCACCTTTGCCTTTGGATTGTAAGCAACTTTGATACAGTATTGCCGGCAAATGCTTCGACGCACAAAGACCCTTCACAAGAATCGCCGGCATCGATCGCCTACCGCAAAAGACACACACGTACGTACGTCTTCCCAGTGACCGTCCTCATCACTTGTGCAATAGCACCTTCTTTACCTGCCACGAGTTCCACTGCTCTTCTTCCTCTTGGAACTGAGAAATGGTCTGAGTCTATATATTTCACTGCCATCAAGGACTCCACCATCCATGCCGGAAGTGGAGGATGGTCGTCTTCAATTTTTGGTGGAATAAGCACGTCCCGTGTGGTGTTGGGGAACACATATGGCCCTTCTTCAAAATCACCATTCTTTATGATATATCCTGCAGAACGTGAATTCGACACAGTTAATTAAGTAGGAAGTTAAACGAAAAGCAGAGTGACACCCAAGCTGAGTTTAAGTGTGGGGACTACTCACTGTTAGCTAATTTTGGAGGGTTGAGAGCTGTGAGAGCAATGGAATCGATGATTGGTCCGCACGCAGGGTGGTCTTCTACTCTTATGGATGACCAAATCCACCTCAGGATACTCAGCTTGGAAAGCCCAAGCATAGGCGTCCCAACGACTGCTGCTATATAATGTTTGCATTGGAAGAACTCTTGAATCTGGAGATACTGACACGTTTAATCGTTCGTCTTGTGCGCATGTGCGTGCTACCACAAATGTGAAGGAACAGTACATTCCTTTCTCTCCTTTTTTTTTCCTCTTTTTTTTTTTGTGGACTGAAGAAACAGTACATTCCTTTCACCAAATTTAATCTTTGCTTGATGCTGACCGCATTACCCAGCATCACCAGCAGCATGTCGGCCGCCGACCACCGCCGTGCCTTTCAAATCTGATGCTCGTGGGCCAAGCTCAAAGTTTCCATTTGCCACCGATCCTGCGCTCGTGAAATCGATTTAGCTAGTTCAATCAAATTATACGTATTCGTCTCAATCACCATTGTAGTGACTCATTAAATCAAGTCCGATGGAGCTGGTAGCTAGGAAGCTAAAGAAATGAACGTGAGGCGAATAAATAACTTGAACAACATATACATGAAGAAAAAACAAAATGAGAGATATATAGTTTATGGTGCGCGTTGATGTAGGAGAAGGCAACATGGAAGGCGGTGCAAAGTAACACGGACAGAAATGCAAGGCCTTGCATGGGCTCAAAGAATCTGGAATTTCAGAAGAGAAATGAAAAGGAGAGCATGAAGGACCGAGCATATATATGCATCCCAAGATATAGAAGGAAGCACTTTGATTCTGAGCTCGATATACAGAAACTAAACATGACATTATTGTTTTTGTGTATACTCCCTCCGTTCCTTATTATAAGATCCTTTTAACTAAATTATATGGTTTAAGAAAACAATTAAACTTAGTTAAAAGTAATTAATATGTAACCAATACAGTTTTTTTTTAAAAATATATCCCTATATATAAATGGATAAATATGAAAGAGTAATAGTAAGATAAAGAGAATATATTAAATGCATTAAATTAAGAATAAAATAGATAATAATATATTAAATGTTCAGATAAACTCAAATAGAATCTTATAAAAAAGAATAGATCCATTTAAAAAATTGAATCTTATAATAAGAGACCGAGGGAGTATAGGATTAGTACGGTTTTCATTCTCTTGCTCATTAATCTTGAGTGTTTTCTGGTGTAGGTGGATGCCAAATGTTCATCCCGAGGTTCGCCCCAAGCTGAAGTTCCGGAAGTCGCCTTGGCATAAATTAAAGGGTGCTATGGTCATTTAGCGGAGCAATATTCATGTATTTTCCTTGGACAATAGGGAGGTGAGCAATTAATTGCATATTAAGAGGGTGGTAATGCTGGATTTTTGAGAAGACGAGAGGCGATATAGACCTTGTTTATGTTGCCTGTGAGAGCCCAGAGCACGTGGCTCATTTAATTATCAGAACAACGGAAGAGGAAGATGATCATGACGAACAGTTGACCGCCACCTGCAAAATCATTTCGTATACATTAAAGATAGGGGGGGAAAAAAGGAAAGCAGTTTCCATGGAATTATCATTTGCATCATTGTAGGAAAGGATTCATCAGGGCCTCGCCATGCACCTTCATGACCGGCCATATTCTAAATTGATGATTCTTAATAATCACAAACATGGTAATTCATGCGAGATGACGATATCCATATAAATTTTCTTGGAGGGTTAGTCTTAATGTTTGACCATAAGTAAGGAGAGCAAGCATGTGGGGGTGGCTAGGTGCTGAAGGGTCAACAAACGATGCACAAGAAATCACAACCCATGCGCACACATTACTTACTTGAGAGGATTGTGGAATTCAAGGAACGAGTTTCAGCTGCCTGGAGTTTCTACTCGCACTGATTCGCTGCATTGAAGCAGTTACCTTGTCTAACGAAGGTTGCCAGGAAAATCATAAGCCGCTGGCTCATACTGTTTAGGAAATCACGCAATGGATCAGATTCGGCTGGCATTGGATTGAGCATTGATTTTAATATGTTCTTTTAGTGAGTCTAAATATAGTGTCGCTGGTTGCTGCTCTCTCCTGTGGCATTCTGTTATGTTCTTATCCAAAATTGGTTCATCATGCCTGGGGGTCGACACTTGGTGTCTCGCATCTTCCTCTCTCCTCAAATAGCGCCCCTGGTTGGCCTGTTATGAAATCCATTGTATTTGTGAGCTTTCATGTGAACCTCTTGGGAATCCAAAACCTCAACAATGAAAGGCCTACACTCACTTTAAAATTTGCGAATGAACTAGGTTCAGCCCAAGACGTTGATCTATTTAATGTCTGTTTGTCGTAACATATAGTTCAAAAGGAGGAGAACGTATAGGGAATGAGCTGATTTCTCACACTACGAGGAATCAAGATTTAAATCTTTAAGAAAAATATTCACATTTAGTGCTCATGGCACTTAAGATGAGACGATGAGTAGAACCTCTTCCTTTTTTTGGCTCTTGGGAATGATCTCTATTTTGTTTTCCATTTATTTGGGCACACCAATTACACAGTCATGAAGCAACGGATTACATTATACATACTGCACACTTCTATTTTCCATAACATTGAAATCACACCAGAACATCTTCTTTTTCTCTTGGAAATTAACAATATGCAATCATTTTCCTAACATGAAGGGGTTTGGGAGATTATGGGGAACTGGCATATAATTTTAACTCATAATCAGCTTACACTGGCTTCACACCCCGGTTGATTCGCTATGGTTTACGAAGACTGAGCAACTTGACATCATCAACCACAGGTCCACACAGCGAAGAGAAGTCATCACTTCTCATGGTGTAGAACGTGCTCAGGAACATAATGCGTGTTCTCGTGCTTACAGCCACAAACTTGAGAACAGCACGCTTATACCCGCCTTTGCCTTTGGATTCATAAGGCACTTTAACAGTGTCTTTGCCTGCGTATGCTTCCACAATCATCGACCCTTCACAGGCATTATTGGCGTCTCCCACCGCAAATGACAGAACGTACGTCTTCCCTGGTATGGTCCTCACCACTTGCGCTATCGCACTCTCTTTCCCCGCCACAAGCTCCACCGCTCTCCTCCCTTGTGGGACTGAGAAATGCTCTAAATCTATGTACTTCACCGCCTTCAATGACTCCACCATCCACCCCGGCAGTGGGGAGTGGTCGTCTTCGATGTTTGGTGGGATCAACACGCCCGATGTTGAGTTCGGGAACACATATGGCCCTTCTTCAAAATCACCGTTCTTCAGTATGTTCTCTGCATAATAATGTCATATCCAAAACATATCACATCAAACACTGCGTATATTAATGCGCATAATGATGAAGAAGCCGTGAAGATGAGCTTACTATTGGTGGGTTTCGGTGGATAGAGAGATTTGAGAGCGACAGAATCAATGAGTGGTCCGCAAGCAGGGTCTTCTTCAACACCAGGGTTATGAATGACCAAGTCTACCTCAGAGTACTCAGCTTGAAAAGCCCAGGCATAGGCGTCAAAAGCATTGCTGCTATAAAGCGTTTGCATTGGTAAAACTCCAGAATCTGGAGACACCGACACGTTTAATCGTTCGTCTTGTGCGCATGTGCGAGCTGCCACAAATGTGATGGAATAGTACATTCCTTTCACCACCTTTATTCTTTGCTTTATGGAGGCTTCGTTGCCCAACCTAACAGCATAAGCTCCTTCTGGTACAACCAGCAACATGTCCCCTTGTTTTTGACCTGATCTTATGTATTCTACGTATCCTGAGATCTCCCACTCCGGTATGGCGTTCCTGCCGCCAATCACCACCGTGCCTTTCATGTCCGATGGCTTTGGGCCCAGCTCAAAATTCCCATTTGCCAATAATCCTGCATCAACAATGAAGTTGATTTAGTTGAACCGATGGAATGCATGTACTCAAAACTTTCAGTCTCTTTTAAGAGAAATCTTGAACATTTTTCTAATTGAGGGAAACCGACTTCCATATTTTTTGTGATGTCAGTTGGACAGGGGCGCCTCAGAGTTTGGCCTGGCTATTTAAAATATCAAATAAGCAATACAGGGCCATGTGGATTTACAGGGCACCCTGCACCACTCTGCATACTGCTAATGTGGTCCCAAGAAAATATTTTATGTCTGGGACATTGAGGTTGCCATCAGATAGGCATTCGAGCTGAGCTCAAATTATGATTGAACGTTTAGCAAGAACGGCTTGCTCAAAAGATGCATATCCCGGGAAGGAAATAACTGGAGTGAGCCTCGGAAATTAGAAAACGACGATAGAGACACATGTTGGTCACCCTATTCACGCTTTGAAAGGAAATCGATTCTATGAAAACTTTCCAGAAATATGGCTAAGTTGTCGAAATGAAAGCTGTCAAAAGAAAAGTCGTGAAGCCAGAAGGCAGGTGCAGAAACGATGAGAAAAAAAATAGTAACAAACAACAGTTGATCTGTGAAGGTAGAAAAGAAAAACGCCATGAGAGATCAAGCGAGAACAAAAGAGAAAACGCTGCCAGAGGTAGTGAAGAAAGATGAAAACTTGAGCCTATAATACAGTGCACTGAAAGAGTGGAGCTTTCTGGTTTAAAAAGAAAAAGAAAAAGAAAGGAGTGGAGCTCACCGTCGGTGATGGAGAAGGCGACATGGAAGGCGGCGAAGAATAGCACCGACAGAAATGCAGCAGCGGGCATGTTAGCTGAGACCAGAGGGAGCCTGCAATTTCAGAGTCAGAGAGGAGAAAGAGCTAGAAGGGACGTAGGAGGAGCAGCGGGCTGAACAGGGGTATATATGGATGGCACCTTAGGAGAAGGCACTGGGGTTTCAAGCGAAATAGCAAAATTGCCACTGCTGTGTTTGGGTGAAGATTTTAGAGCAGAGCAGGTGATGAGAGTAAAATGAGCAACGAGAACTTGCTTAGTTGCTTTTTTCGAGTGTGAGGGTCACCAAAGCACATGGTTCATTTAATTGAATGTTAGATGACTCGTACTTGACTACCCCACTTTACAATATTGTATATATATTCAAAAGAACGAAAAGTAGAATACTTGATGCGAAAAGAGATCCAGCACATTCACCCAGAAACACTAGAGAGAGAGAGTATTTTCACTTCACCTATTTACTCTGGTCTGGTGATAATAATTCTACATTTGATGTATATTTTATAATTTTGAAGCTGGGAACGACCCGACTTCAGCTCAATCACCAAAAGTAATCAAAAGAGATGAGCATGTGGCAGAGGAAAGAAGCCAGGCGGAACATGGCGCCGGTATTGTTTATGGAGTAAAATAGGGTATTCTGGTTATTAACATTGGAGATCCATCGTAATGACCAGAGAATGTGTGTTTCGGTCGCCGTCGTCGTCGTCGTTATTAGGCATTGAATTATTATATTTGTGGAACTAAAGAGGTCGTAAAAACATATCACGAGGAAGCTGGGCTCCAGTGGGACCCACCCCAATGGCTAGGGCGGCCCTTTCCGATTCAGATATGGATACACCACAGATCTGCTTTTATTCCGCACTACAGAGTAAAACTATGTCATTAAAAAAACAAAGTACTTAAATCAAAACGGATTAGAACGTTCCTTATTACATACTACCTCCATCCTAAATATAACAACTATTTAACTAATTTGAGTAAATTAAAAAAATAAATTAAGTTAATTATTTATAATAAATAGATATTGTCTTTTTTAAAATATCCTCGCTAATCAAGTGTATTAATTAAAACTATTATTACTAGAAATATTATTTTGAGAAAAAATAAATAAATATAAAAGACAAAGTGGATTTGGGTCTTATATTTCGAACCAAAATAAAAATTAAACAATGTTTTATATTAAGGACCAGAGATAGTATTAAGGCATTGCGTAGTTTTTTTTTTTTTTAAATACAGTCATTCAGAATAAGTTCTATACATTAATGTTAAACTAAATTATCATTTTAAGTGGATAAAAGAAATATAATTTGTGAGGTGAATAAGGATTGGCTGCATGGACAATCCACGTGTGGGCTCTTTTTAGGGCCTACACATGAGAGTGGGCCTTCTCTTCTGTTAGGCCTCATCCTCAACAGCCGCACGTCGCCTCGTCGCCCCACTCCCCGGAGTTTTGATTATTGTTTATCACACTTAACATTTAAAATGATACTAGTTAGAGTCCAATAAATCTATCTCGGCGATGTACTAAAAGAAAAGTTCAGTAAATGTAGACTTGGAAGTAGCATAACAGCAAGCGAGAGAGGAGTGGAAGGAGTCAACGGAAGAGAGGCTGGTTGACTGATTTATTGGAAGGTGAAATAAAAGGCACCACATGCGAAGGAGAAAGAATAGACACAGGCGAGTGCAGATTTTGGGAAGAAATTTATTGTAGGAATTGGATGACAGCACTAGGCTTCTCATCAAACCATGCTTATTAACCAAACAATCCGTAAATTTTTAATATAAAAACTAGATAATAAATTTAAAAATATTGAGATTTTTTATTACCAGCCAAGAAATTGAGGTTTACCTATTACTATATATTGTGTTGTTATAGCAGTAGGCGAACCCCAATTTTTAGATGTGTTTGGATAAAAATAAAATCATGGTTTCATATGTGTTTTTACGGTATACGAAGTAAATATGTGAAGGAGTTTGTCTCGATTTGTAAAAAAAGTACTTCTGAAAAATGATTTTGGGATTATCCAAACACCCTCTATATCAGCATATTAATCTATTATACTTTATCAGATAAAAAGCGATATTTAGGATGATCATTTTATACACACACATATATAATACATCTCAGTTTTTAGAGTTTAGTATAAATCGAGTATACAATGATTTGAATAATATTTATAGAAGTGATTCTATGCTACCCACCAGGCAGATTCTCGCATCAAAAATAAAATTTTAAATACTGTCAATTTTTGTTAAATGCGAGTGAATTTTTTACCAATTATATCCATATTTATTTCACGACAAGAGACTCATATTCTAGTTAAAGTTCCATGAGAACAGAAGTAGCAGCGGCCATATATTTGGATGTAAATAAAGTGGAAAAGCAGAATCAGGAAATGAAGTGGAGGATGGGGTGCCAGGTTATGACAAAGACACACCAACGGATGCCAATTGCATAATTGGGGCAAAAATCATAATTCAACAGCTCCAAAATTTCCACGTAGGCATGCATTTAAGGAAGCTGTCTCCTCAGTGATGACAAGGATCATGCATCTTAATTCTTAAGTTCAGCTCATTTCCAGAAGGCCAAAAGCAAAATAATAATAATAAATAAAAAGTGCTTTTGGAAACCTCTTCTCACTTCCCCATCGCCTCTGACCCAAATAATCAAAGTTCAAGGTAGGCTCTCCATTGTCCACTTGCCAAGCTTCTTCCTGATATGACGTCCAACCAGTTATGCTTATACCCTCTTCTTTGCTTCTTCTTTCATTTGTATTTGTACTTACCTTTCGTCCCTCATGATCTTCTTCAGTAATAATGAGGTTCTCACAAGCCAAGAACAGGCCTCTCGTGGGTTCACATGCAATGTTCAGTGGACAGAATTTCATGGCGATGTTCTCCAAACAAATAGCCAGAGATATCTATTTTATATTTTTACTGATCTAATTGACTCAAATCCACTGCGGTCACAAACATTTGAACAGTATAGTTATTTTGTCTCATTTTAGTTAAGAATTCAGAACTCCACACCCACGGTGGAGGAAAGGACAGCTGAATTATACAGACACCGACACAAAGATTCGGCAATTTTGATGAGGCCGATGAGGATCCTTATCATTATTCACTGAATCTCACGCATCATTGACTGGCCCGTCCATATCAAGCAGGAAAAAGGGTCATGTAATTTCAAGCTACATACACACAAATTGGTGGTTCTATTTATTTCTCCAGCTTAATGACATAGCCAGGTTACCCATCTCATGAATTTATAGCCCACCAGAGAGAAGGAAGGTGAAGGATGAAGGAATTATAAAGAAAAGCTGTCTCTTTCATTCTTCGCTCTAACTAACGACACTCCCACATGATTCCCTGGCTTCTTAAACCAAACATGGTCATAGATTCTTCTGGACCATGGCATTTTGCTAACACTAGCTCACTGAAGCAAACGAATTTGATTTTGGTTACCTATAAAATGATTGATTGGTTGATCCGAGTTTTAGTTTTACTGGTTTAAGACCCAGACAAAGTGAAATAGCTGATCCCCCGGTGTTTGGTCATGACTTGATTTGTGAAAGTAAAATTTGCTCTCACCACGGAGCCAAATCACAGCCTTACTAGCTAGTTTTATCAACCACTGGGCGTACAGACGACAGGTAATGATTTTCCAACAGCTTGAATGTTACCAAATGCACTTAAATTGGAGTTTAAAAGATTGTCCATGTTGGTGTTGGAGTGAGAAAACATGGTGCCTGGTGCTCTGCTCTCTGCAAAAACAGGGGACGCCAAATAAATAATCCATCCAGTCAACTTCAATCATAAATTCATATTGCTGTGCGAGCGGGAGAGACGAATAAACCATAAAAATAAAACTGTGGTAAGTACCTCTTTGAAATTGTTTCCAAGAGTACCTCCTGAGTCGCCTTATAATTAAAATGAGATGAGATGCCATGTCCCAAAAGTCAGCATCAGTAGGGTGGCAAGTATCCAGTCTTGGTCAAAAAAAAAAAAAAAAGGGTGGCAAGTATCCAGGATTTATTAAGAAATGCTCCCTCTGACCTATAACATAAAGACGTTGGTTTAAAAAAAAAAAATTGTGGTATGAAATATAGCATGTTTTTAGGATAATTAATATGATTTTTCTACCTTCACCGCTAATAAATACTATATGTGTGTGAGAGAGAGAAAAATATGAGAGATGATAAAAATATAACATAAGAGACAACTTTATCATTTTTTAAAAATAAAATAAATTTTTCTATCTTTTTATGATAAATTTAGGCCCTGTTTGGCAGAACGGTGAAAATCCCCCATAAGTGCATTTTACGCAAGCCGAAACAAAACTTCTTACATTATTTCGTAAATTTATAAATCACTATTGAAAAGCTACTTATAAATTGTTCCAAACAAACCCATAATATCTTTTTTTTTTTGGCACGTGAGAAAAGTTAATCAATTTATATTGGACCGGGGGTAGCATCTTGTTCAGTCAAACGAGCTAATTGGAATTATCTCAATTTAAGCATTTGAAGAACTAGTTTCAAGTGAGTTTTGTCTCTTTTTTATCCTCAATCAAGGTGATTAATTAGTGAAATAATCAGTTAGGTTCCACTCTCTTATTACTATATTTAATCATTGCTCCCATTTATGAAAATTTCTTTGAGCATATGCATTTGGCAATTAATAGGCAAAGCAGTATACTTTATTGTAAATGTTATCATATAGTGTGTGTATTGATGTGCGGGAATCCCTGGATTTTCCCCTGGAACTTCTCTAATTCATGAGTGCTTATTTTCTATGCTGACGTGGAGGAGATGCGTTCGCCTGAAAACGGTACACGTGTGACAGAGTGCTTAGGAAAATCAAGAGATGAATGGAATAGGTAAAATGGAATGCGGAACAAAAACATTCCTAACGCATGTTTGTATTTAAAAGAAAAAGTAACACCTTTTCTCAGTCATTTAATTAAAATTAGAAACTCAATCTCGTGGAGATAGCTGGCCAGCATAAAGTAGCTCTTGAGTTGTTTACATGGAAATCAAACTATAATTTAAAAAGTGATTTTACAATATATAAAATAAGTATGTAAAAAAAAATTTTGTG